AATTTCCCTCATCAACATCATCAGAATCATCGGAATTAACTAAATTATTTGATTTCTTTGATTTATTAGCATCAATATCAATGTGGTCGGATTTTCGTTTTAAATAATCATTTGAATTGTTGCCGGTAGTTGTTGGTCTTTGTTTGGAATTTTTCGATTGTTGCTGCTGTTGTTGCTGTTGCTGCTGCTGATCCTTATTCCTTACTGAATCGTTATCAATCGGTTTCGATATTGATGATGAAGAGAATAGATTTTTCGAATTGACCATTCGATTCTTATCCGAATTCATATTGTTGCTGTTGTTGCTGCTGTCGTTATCAGTGCTTCTGATATTCGACAAATCTTTACGAAATTCTTCATTAATTCGTAAAACACTTCGACAATATTGAATTTCAGCATCTGAACGATTTATAAGATATTTTTTAATTATATCCATTGATGATAATTCTTCCAACGATGAACGTTGATAGTGATGTTTGTTGTGTTGCTTATCCATTGTCGTTTCTTTTTTTTGTGGCGCGACAAAATAATCAGATTACCAAAGCCAAAAATTAAGGGCTTCAATCAAAATACTTGATGCAATCAAGATATTTTTTGCAATAATTTTGAAATCGTGTGTACAAAATTAAAAAAAACATTTATAAATCCTTATGATAATTGCTGATGGATAGATAAATAAATCTCCATGAGAATTATTAATTATAATTAGGCGAAACCATTTCATTTATGGAATTTTATTCAATTATTACGATCATTGTTTTTGGACTTTGAATCCGGATTTAACTGTACCAGGATTTAAATTTATCTTTTAGTGATTTTTAAAAATTAGAGGAAAGTTAAAAAAAAATTACATTTGACTTAAATTACATTTAACTTAAATTATATTTAACTTAAATTACATTCTTAAGTAATACTTAATTAAGAAAACAGCTCTACAGGTATACAAGTAGATGATACATTTAAAGAGTATAAATTAACCTAAATTATAATTTACAAACATCAATCAGCATTTTGTCGTGAAACACAACATTTCATCAGCATCGTTAAATATCTATCAATCGTTTACCTTTAATCGATAGCCATTGTCTTTTTCAAAAATTTTCTTTCCATCGAATTCTGTATTCTGGATTTGTTCACCAGTATTGTACGTTGGGATCTGATTAGATAATTTTTTGGCCTGCTTTGAATATCTTGAGAATATTTTTGTAAGTAATTTAGTTCGTAAACGAAGATTTGAACACAACTGACGATATTACATATTTTTTCTTTAGACAAAATTAAAATGATGAGATTTATATCGACAACAGCCAAATTTTTGATACATAAATTAAAACTTTTTTACAGTTCCATTAAGTTGCGTATTAATAGCAAAATCGTTTTCCATCTAGATCTAGAGATGGGAAATGGTGGAAAAACTAAATGTTAGGACCGATGACTAGGTCATATCATTGAATGGCGATATTGTAACGGGCTGAACGAATCTATGAGAATTTAAAAAAAAAACGTTAAAATGAACAAAAAAAATGCGTATCATTGATTTGGTGTTGTTTGATGATGACGATCTGTTGTTTAACGTATTTTTAAGCATACATGTTTAAACTATTTTTTTTTTATCAATGTTTTCCATAACAATTATCATTAATTAAAAAAAAATTTCAAATCTGATCAAAATGGATATGTTAACAGGAATGNGCATGACCATGTAGACCAGGTTCGCTAAGAAAAACAGCCGAGCATTTTGGACATGGATATATTTTTGCATGAGAATAATGTGCATTTTGATGTAACTGCAGATATTTAACATTATTCGATTTATATGTACATCCTTTAAATGAACAAATAAATTCACCATTTAAATATGTTGATTTTCCATCTAATAAATCAGAATTTCCCTCATCAACATCATCAGAATCATCGGAATTAACTAAATTATTTGATTTCTTGGAATCAATATCAATATGGTCGGATTTTCGTTTTAAATAATCATTTGAATTGTTGGCGGTAGTTGTTGGTCTTTGTTTGGAATTTTTCGATTGTTGTTGCTGTTGATGTTGCTGTTGTTGATGTTGTTGTTGTTGTTGTTGTTGCTGTTGTTGATGTTGTTGTTGTTGTTGTTGTTGTTGCTGATCCTTATTCCTTACTGAATCGTTTTCAATCGGTTTCGATGTTGATGATGATGATTGATTTTTCGAATTGACCATTCGATTCTTATCCGAATTCATGTTGTTGTTATTAGTGTTTTGGAAATTCGACAAATCATTACGAAATTCTTTATTAATTCGTAAAACATTTCGAGAATATTGAATTTCAGCATCTGAACGATTTCGAAGATATTTTTTAATTATATCTATTGATGATAATTCTTCCGATGATTGCTGATTTTCATTCAAAGATCGTTTATCCATTGTCGATATGTTGCGAACAAATCTAAAATTGCTAACAAAAACCAAAATTTTAGTTTTTTATGATTATAAACTTAATTGATTTATAGCTTATATGTTTATATACTCACGATAGTTTACCAACTATGACTTTGATAATAATGTTTTATCAATGAACAAGATTAACTAAATAGATCACAATTTAAAAAAATTTCAAATCTGATCAAAATGGATATGTTAACAGGAATGGAAGAAATATTTTGCTTATATATGTGTCGATTGTAGTATTACCACCGATCTAATTAAGTCTTATAAGTTTCTTGTCTGTCTGTCGGTCTGTCAATCCATGAAGGCATCGCAAAAAAATGGAAAAAAAGGAATCTTGCATCTAGCAATATTGCTAAAATATATTTTTTTTTTGTTTTGCTTAGTGAAAAGATAATTTTTTTTATCCATGACAATTATCAATTATGGTAGATGGTTGGAAAAAATTGATGAAAAAAAACTACAATGTAAAACTACAAACCTAAGTCATATGATTAAAACATATATAAATGTTATATTGATTTTAAGTTTTGAATTTGGATCCACTTGATATTGAACCAAATTTTGTAGATAATCTTTGACCATGGAAATTGAATAGCAACGAAAACATTTGGAGAAAAAAATGGGTCCAATTGAACGTAATAAAGTCACAAAAAAAAAAATTAAGATTAATTTATTAATTCTTTGGATTGTGCAGTAAGTTTGAGAAAAAAAACAATAATCAAAATACATGATGACATGTAACGATAGTGATATGAATTTTTTTTTAAATCATTTTTTCAATTATTTTGCTAAAATATTGGATTCAGATAGAGAAAAAAGAGAAAAACATTATGATACTATCCTTTCCTAATTAAAAGTTTTTGTAAAAAAAACGATTTTTTTATAATTTTTTAAATTAGCATACTTAAAAAAAAACGTCTATTAAAAATTTTCTGAGTATTTTTCACATTGCAATAAAAAAATGAGATTTGATAAATTAACAAAAGTTTTAATAACACTGTTAATGTTTGTTTCAAAATTTATTTTGATAACACCATTTATAACAACAAATGGAACCAATATTAATATCGAAATAGATTGTAATTGGATAAAGATAGAAAATTTTGAGAAAACATTTCATTTAAACCAATATACTATTTATTTATCAATAAAATCTAAACAAACAAATGAAACACCAGTCTCATTTACACTTAATGATATGATTCAATTATGGACAACGTTACAGGTTATAATATAATCCAGATAACGAAAATACAAAAAAAAATGAAATGAAATGAAATGAAAAATATTTTATTTTATTTTTTTGTTTTGTTTCCAAAATGAAATCATTTTAGTCAACAAGTGTCTTTCGGTGTGTTTGTATCTTCAAAAATAATTTTATTTAGTAATTTTTTACCATAAATAGAGAGATTAACCATAAGATAACCAAGAACAAAAAAAGAATAGTGGATACTCAAACGCAATCCGTATGCAATCATTGATTTTGATATTTAATAAAGAATGATAATTTTTTTCCATGACGATTATCAATTATATGTTTAAAAAAAGTAAAATTATACGATTTTTATAAGTAAAACTACAATCATCTTGATTTGATTTCCAATAATAACGAGAAAAAAACATTTTGAAAAAAAAATTATTTGAGTCCAATTGAACGCAATAAAGTCAACATAAAAACAAAAAAAAATAAGATAAATTAATTCTTTTAATTTTGCCTTAAGTTTTTTTTAAATAATAATAATAATAATAATCAAAATACAGGTGTAAATTAGGTAGGTGGGTGGTGGATGCAATGCATTGTATTAAATATGTTTTTTTTTCGTTTCAAAATCATAATTCAAATAATAATAATAAATAGGATGATGTTTATTTTTAAATGTGTGTGTGATGTGACCAAAAAAAAACGAAGAGTATAATTTTCATTGAATTAATTTCATTATTTCATTATAATGTCAATGATAATGATGATGTAAATGATGTGAATGTAAATGTAAATGATGATGATGCACATAATTCGAGCAGTTTTATATCACAAAAAAATTAAATTAAATTTTGTTTTGTTTTGTTTAAAATGAAAGAAATTTTGTTGCTTCGGGAATTCATAACCAGTATCGCAATACCATCGATTATTAAAGATTATGGAAGAAGAATTTAAATGACAACTATTACCATCACTAATACCACTACTACTATTGGAACGATCATTATGATCGATTTGATGAATTGTGGATTATTTTGGCCATCTAAATTAAGATGGTTATGTTGAAATGATTATTTCAATTTTATCTTGTTGAAGATTTTCTGTTTTTTGTTTGTCGTGAATCTTTATTATCTTTGGTGGAATTATTCATCTGTTCATCATCATCATCATCATCTCCATCATCATGGTCATTGTTTTCTTCCGGTTCAGTATCTTCTGAATTATCTTCATTTTTTGTTTCATCATTTTTTGAATTATCACTCGATTGAATTGTTGATTGAATTATTTCATTATCATCTTCTGGTTCGGTTTCTTCACCATCATCCTGTTGTAATGATGGTTGTCGATTTATTTCAATCGAATCCAAATCATCAATTTTTGATTGTTGTTGCGTTTTCGATGATTCTTCTTCCTTTTGATTTTGATTATCATCATCAACATTATCATTATCATTATCATCACCATCTTCATCATCATCTTGTGTCGCAACTTTTCGTGATGGTTTAACACTTTTACGTCGACGTGATGATCCAGATGAAGTGATGATCGATGATGACGCTATTGCTGCAACTGATGATGGTGATAGATTGAGAATCGATTCATTCATTTTTTGATTATTTTTCAATAAATTTAAGCTCAAATTTGTTGTTTTCTCATCATCACCACCACCACCATCATTGATAACATTTTCAAATTCATTTCGTTGTGATTTATTTGAACGACGCGATTTTGTTGTCAATGTTTTTGTTGATGATGATGATGATGAGGAATTTAATCGATTTAATTCGGCTAACGATAATTTTAGATTTGAAAGACTACCATTATTTGTATCATTAATTAATGTATCACCACCACTAACAGTCGTAGTTGTTGCTGGATTATTATTAAATTGAAATGCAGCCAAAGCAGCCGATGATAATAATGATGACATAAATGATGATGGTGATGTTATCAATTTATCAGTGGTCATTTGTTGCTGTTGTTGCATCATCTGCATAATAGTCGTATCTGTTGATGATTGATTATTATCAATATTGTTTATTGTACCATTTTTAGGTTTACGTTTTCGTTTCAATAATTCACGGCCACTACCATCCGAATGAAAACGTATAATATGATGACGAAGATTACGTTTTTCGGAAAAACCACGGCCACATGTTTTACAAACACAAGGTTTAAATCCAGTGTGTACACGTTCATGACGATGTACACTAAACACTCGATCAAATGTTTTGTCACAAAATCGACATTTAAATTGACCGGGTGCCGTCTCTTCAATATCACCTAAAGAAAATTTTTGTATCGGTAAACTTTGTCCAGCACCTTCGAAAATATCTACAGGTTCTTTTAAATGTCTTGATGATGTTGTTGTCGATGATGTTGATGATGATGAAGATGATGTCGATGATGATGAACCATTATTCTTACTGTTACTACGTGTTGTTTTCGGTGATGAACATTTTTCATTTGATGTCGATGTAGTTAGATCGGCCAATGTAATCGATGATGATAATGTTGATTTATTTGATTTATTCGATTTCATTGAATGTGATTGATTCATAGCAGTTGATACTGGATGTTGATTAACGTTAGTTGCCGCCAACAATGTTTGATGACCAATTATATCTGGTACAATTCCAGAAAGATATAATAATGAATTGTTATTGTTATCCGATGATGATGAATTGGTCAATGTTGTTGAATTATTATTGTTAGATGATGATGATGATTGTTGTTTTGTAGTAATCATCGATGTCGGTATAATTGTTGGTGGTGGTGGTGTATTTGGATCATGATGATGTAAAGAATTTGAATCATTTGTTGCTATTGATGGTGGAAAATTATTATCACCACTATTACCAACAATAGATAATAGTGTTTTATCTTTGGTAGTCGATGATGATGTTGTTTGTCCACCAATAGTATGTTGATGATGATGAGATCCATCCATTAAACTTGCAGCAAATTTACGACCAAAATCAGTATTTTTTGATGCATTTGCCAGGATTTTACGAAAATCAACAACAGATGATTGATGATGATGATTTAATTGTTGTTGTTGATTGATTGCTGTTGGAATCGATATTGATAGACCAGATTTATTGTTATGATTCGTGGCCATAGAATTATTATTCATAAGTGAATTTAATAATTGAAATTGTTGATTTGTTGCAGCTGTTGTTGTTGTTAAATGATTCGAATTCGAACTAGCCATTTCTAATGTTCGATGTAATTGACAATGAATTTCAAATTCTATAGTATCATTAAATTTTGCCAAACATTTATCACATTGTAAAGTTGTTGTTCTTGTATTAATCGATAGTGATGTTGTTGAAGATGGTGATGATGGTAATGATGTTGATGATGATAGCTTCGATATAATCGATTGATCGGATCCATCGATTCCGGCAGCCGTTTTTGCAAACAAAGCAGCCATAGCAGCAGCTGCAGCAGCATTTTCAGCTACTTTTTGTTGTTGTTGATCATGACCACCAACGGTTATTGTTTGGTTAGATGTAAGTAGATATTCCGAACCATTCATTGTTGTAGGTATCATTAGAATATGATGTACTTGTTGAATATGGTTAGTGATTTGTTCCATTGATGCAAATGCAACTGAACAAAGACAACATTTATAGAATAATAATGGCTGTTCAGTTTGTACATTGATTGCATCCAATAATGATACAAGAATTTTTTCCGAACGTATTTGTATAGGAGAATCGGCAACCAAATTAGCCGGTGGTTTACAAAAAAATGAAACATCAGCTTGTGACCAATTAAACGATCGTGCTGTTGTTTGATTATGATTTTCATCAGTAATCAATGTTGATGTTATCATTGATTTTAATTGATCATCAATATTTGATTTGCATTTTTTATTATTATTATTAACATTCGATGTTGTTGTTGTCGATTCTGATTGCGATTCATTCAATTGTAATTGCGATTGAGATTGCGATGAGGAACATTTGCGTTTTGTTGATTTTAACAATGATGGTGATAATTGATGATCATTATTATCCGTACATTTTGAATGATCAATATTTTTATTGTTGTTTGATGATAATTTCTTATTATTATTTTCGGTTTCAATTTTTGATTTCAAATTTTCCGAATTATTATTGTTGGATACATTTCCACTGCCGCTACTACTACCACTATTACCACCAGAATGATATGATTTTATATGAAAATTTAATGAATGTTCATATTTAAAACCTTTACCACAAGCAAAACAAACAAATGGATGTTGCGTAAGATGTCTAATCAAATGAGCTTTTAAATCAACTTCAGTTGCAAATGTTTTATGACAGGATGTACATGGAAATGCTGTTGTTGTTGTTGATGATGATGACAAATGGCTATTGATACCTTTGATGGTCTGTTGTTGTTGCTGTTGTTGTTCATCACTATTGTTATTATTGGCCATAATCATCAACGGATCATTCATTGAGGAATCCTGATCCGTATTATTTAATTGTTGTTGCAGCTGTTGTTGTTGTTGTTGTTGTTGAGCTTGATGTGATGATAATAGTTTACGTTTTTTAGTCATCACTTGTTGTTGTTGTGATGTAGTTGATCGTTGATCGGCACCAGACAATGTTGTGGTTTGTTGTGTATTTGATATTGCACTTGATGATAATGAAGAGGTGGATCCATTGGTCTGTTGTTGTTGTTGTGATGATGTTGATGTCGGTGTTGGTGTTGTTATTGTTGATGATGATGTTTGGTTTTGGTTTAATAAATTTTGCATCTGATGTAAAAATGGTATACCATCTATATATATGTTCGTGCGTGCGTGCGCGTGCAATCGATTTTTCATTTAATGATTGATTGATTGAATGATAAATGAATGAAGAAAAAACAGAAAAAATTATCATTAAAAACAATATTTGAATGATAAAATTAAATCGCAAACTGAAAACTTACATGATGATGATGATGACGGTGATGATAATTTCATCGATCCATTCGCCATTGTATCCGATAATTCAGTTAATTGTGAAAAATGTGTTAATAAATGTTGTTCATATTCTAATTGATTATGAGCGATAATATTATTACCACAAATCATACAAAATCGTTCATCTCTTTCTCGTTGTTGTTTGTTGACAATATTTTTACCCAATGATTTTGTCGTTGATGATGATGATGTTGGTGATGTAGTGGTCGTAGAACTGAAAAAGAAAAACAGAAAATTCATTATGATTAGTCAACACAAAAAAAAAAGAATTCGAGAACAACTTACTCTTTGATCATTTGTGCTGAAATTGCAGCCAATAATTGACTTGCAGCATTTGCAAATGATGACGAATGATCATTATTTGAAGAATTTTGATTCTGTTGATTGTTGGCAGCAGCGGCAGCCATCATTGATGCAACAATTTCATTTGATTCGGTTGTTAAAAAATTCGATGCCGTTGTTGTTGCAGTTGTATTATCCCAGAATCCGGTATCAATTTGAATTGGATTTGAATTCGTTCCATTAGCAATAGATGTCGCTACCATAGCATAATTTTGTAATAATTGTGCTGCTGTTGTTGAATTATTATCGGTTAATGGTGAATTTGATTCAGATGATAATGGTGATGTTGTTGTTGTTGATGATATTGAATTATTTGTTGTTTTTGTTTGTGATTGTTGTTGCTGATGTTGTTGTTGTTGATGATGTTTAAGAAATTGATGTAAAAGAATTGGATGAAATGGAGATCCTGGTGCTGATGCCGATGTTGTTGATGGTGATGGTGATGAATCCAAAGATACGTTCGATTCGATATTCAACGATGAAATTGTTGTTGTATTATTAACAGCATTAGCAGCTTTCTTTATGTCCATCATTTTTTATCGATGGATGATTTTGTTTTCAGATTAAATAATTTTATCACACTATAACGATAACAAATGAAGAATTAAGAATAAACATAATAATAATAATAATAATAATGATAAATAATGAAGATGATGATGGACGATTATATCGATTGTATCGAATTAGGAATTTTTTTTTCTCTCGATTTGTTCATTATATCAAAAGAAAGAAAGAAATAAAAAAACAAATAATTCAAAACATCTGTGTAAAGAGTATTCTTCTTTATTCATCATCATCATAACCGAAACTAACCAAACAAGATCAAGATGATGATGATGATGATGATGATCGGAATGATGATCAAGCTTGAAATGAAATGAAATGAACTCTAAAACTATAAAAATGTGAATAATAATAATAACAAGAAGGCCGAAAAGAAAAACAAGAATTGAAAACGCGAGCACACTATGATCATGATGATGATGATGATGATGTTGATGGTAATGGTGGTGTACGCGGACTGTCACGATCATTCAGTCAGTCATCATCATCATCATCATCAGTTTTTTATCGGTTTTTTTTCCTCTTCTATGTAATACCGAAAGAAGGAGAGAGAAGGAAGGACGACGACGACGATGAACAAAAAAAAAATAAAACCCGAAAATTCGGTTATCCACTACGAGCTATACTCGTACGTATAATTTTTTTTTCTCGTTTTGTTTCTTTAATTCACTATTTCGGTATGTATTGGCGTGTATTTTCAACGAAACAAAAAAAAAACAAAACAAAAAAAACGAGAAAAAAAATGCACACGCACATACGGAATTTCCTGGGCTTCCAGCTCCCAGAATATATTATGATGAAATGAAATGAAAAACGCGTTATATCACGCGATTTTCTTCTTCTTCCAGTCGATTCGAACCTAAAAATGTACACCAACAGAAAAAAAAGCACGCAGAAAAAAAAAGAAATAGCCAAATTGGAATACTGCTGCTTTGTTGGGGAGCCACCAATGACAGAAACACATCAAAAATGATGATAACCATAATAATAAAACCGATATATATGGATCAGGCAAAAAGAGTGGACATTCGGGTAATCGAAATGGTCGACAACGACGACATTACATAAAGTGCGCGTGGTAATGTTGTTGGTGAATTTCTAGATACAAAAATACAATTCTCTCTCTCTCTCTCTTTTTTGGTGTGTGGACAGTGCGGTTATTTTTATTTAACCCCCCCCCCAGCCTCCTACTTTTATCTCCCAACAATTCTTGGTCCAAAAACGACACGCACACACAAAATCAAAGAAGCGGCAAAGGAAGCAGCAGTAACCAATAATGTGATGATGATGATGAAATGGGCACCATAAATAAAAACATATTCCCAAGTTGAAAATATTCTATGCTGGCCAAAACTAGAAAAACAACAGAAAGAAAGAATGAACCAGTTTTATTTTTCGTTGATTCTTTCTATGTTTCTACATTGCTTTGGTCCAAACAACAACAAAAAAAACGTGCTGGCAGTCGCCTTTTTATCTCTCTTTCTATGTAGGTGCGTGCGTTATATTCGTCACTTTTTTACTTAACTAATTCTGTATTCTTGTTGTTTTGGACATACGGCGGCGCACGTGCTGCTTTTCTATTGCAGTATTCTATTTATATTATGGAGGGGTTGGGCGCGATCATTTTCTCGCGTTTGTGTTGTCCGAAACCGAAAAGAACGTCGAATGAATGAACCAGAATGATAAAAACACGCGCACATTGAACACACACACATATTACGAAATGAAAATAGCAAAACAGAATAAATTGGAAATGAAAATGAACAAAGAATTTTTACAGTATTACTTCGATTAACAAATATGATGATGAATTTTTAAATTTCTAATTAAAAAACAAAAAATTATCGATAAGCAAACAGGTGAATTTTTGAAAAACAAAGAAAAAAACTATTCAAATTTTTAAAATTTTCAAGTTTCAAAAAAAAACCAAAAACCAACAAAAGCAAATGGCTATATACACCTACCTACCTGTTCGATATGGGTGATATGGTGTATTTTTGTTTATTTATTCTTTGATTTTTTTTGACATTCATTGCCATCACACATAAACAGATAAAGAAAGATGTTTATTTATTTATCTTGCTATTGAAAATGATAATTTATATTTTTTTTTGTTCATTTCAGAATTGTCGAACGTGCCGAATCATTTTTTTTGTGTTGTTCAAAAACGATAATGATGATATGAAATAAATCATTTTTATTTTGAAAACAAAAAAAAATGGAAAGAAAATTACGCATGTGCAAAGTAACAACAACAACAAAATTAACACGTGCGCATCATCATCAGAACAAAAAATCCATTTCCGTTCAAGAAAATAAAAACGATGACGAATAAATATTTCGGTAGCATTTCTACACACACACTATTTCTATCTGTATCGATATTTATAATGTCCAGTTTTTTTCACAATCTTTTTCTCTCTATGGAATACAAAATACACGGAAGTATACAATGCGTCATCATTTTAACTTTTACTTAACTAATATATTATTCTGGCCGCTGATATCTATATGTTTTCGTGTGTGTGTGTGTATGAATGTATTATACGTGTTTGGTGCGTGTTTATTTTTTCGGCTATCGAAATATATAAAAATTCGGTTCCATCAATTCATTTTAGGGTTGTGTGTGTGTGTGTGTATTTGGTATCTATGGATTGTTTGGTTGGTTGGTTAGATTTTCATACAAAATTTTGTGTCGCCCAGGCAAAAAATAAAAGTGTATAGAGAATGATCATCATCATCATCATCACATGGCTATATATGAATTGCAATGTTTATATTCTCAACATTGTGATACATTATGTGCGTGTGTAGGGTTTTTTATTTTATTTTTTCCTACTGTTTTTTTTCGGGATTGCGAATATATTAAGAGTTTGAATGAATGAATGAATGAATGATGATGATGATCCTCGAAAATGCCAAGTGAATTTTTTTTGTTTTGTTTCACTATCAATTCTGGTTACAATACAAAAGTACGTGTCTAGTGTGTTGTAATGTACGAATTGTACGAGCGAATTCTGTTTGCTTCTGCCTTTTGAAAGCAAAGTTTCCCTTTCTTCTTCCCCCCCGATGTCCATCATTTTTTTTTTCTTTGGAATGACCAATGTGCGTGTGCGTGTTTTCTTTTTAGGTGCACGCGTTCCCAAAGAATATATAACCCATAACTAGGCACGCACACACACCAAAATACAACTTGTATATATAACGCAAGGCGCCACGCCAAAAATGTTTGGTTTTTGTTTTGTTTTTGCTTTTTTTTTCGTTTTTGGTTGGACAAAATTCTGTTGACAGGCGTACGTTTGGGTTATGAAATAATTCAATTCAATGCGAAGAAAACATTTCCGGTTTCTCGGTATTACATTGATTTTCAATGGGAATCGAAAAAAAATGACAAATAATTATCGAATAAAATGAAAAAATTTAAATCCAACTTGTTTGTCTTAACTATCAACATAACACACCTTGTAAACCATAGCTTCTTTAGCAATCATCAACGACGAAAAAAAAACATCAATCCATTATAGGATAGAAGATGGAGGAAAAAACCAAAACCTACCAATGGCGCCTTTGTATCATTTTCCAACAAAAAAAAAACACCGACCAATTCGACAGCGAAACAAAAAAAAACCAGTCAATGAAACAAAAGCAGCAGCGCATAGGTCGATGACTGGAAGCCATCGTTCATGATGATGATCATCATGAACGTGTTCAGCAAAAAAAAATCACTCTATGTATGTCTCCATACATAGTGAATGACGCCAAACATCAGCCAGCAGCAGCAACGAACGAAAAACACGAAAATTACTTATTTCCATTTCCATCATTATCATTGTATAATTCTACAGTTTCTTTTTTTCGTTGTTGGAAAAAAAATATTGTTTGTTTGAAATGGTTGACCTTTTCTATCTATTCGTATCGTTCTCGTTTCACACTTGTATTTCGTACACGACATTTTGGCTTTATAAGGGACCAGTAATAGTGTTGATTAAGGGAGGAGGAAAGGAGGGTTATTCACGTATACCAGATTCATATACACGCAAAAAGATAAACATGGAGAGAAACTGGTCGTTTCACAAACAATCCAAACTTTATGAACTTTCCAAATTATTTTTCATGTTCATCATCATCATCAAAAGAAAAAGGTCGAATTGGATGGCAAACCTATCTCTCTCTTCCTCTCATTGAATTGCGAATTCAACAAACAATAGCGCGTGCTAGAATTATTATTATTGCCTAAAAGAAGACACAGTTTATTCGATTCTTCTCTCTCTCTCTCTCTCTCTCTCTCTCTCTCTCTCTCTCTCTCTCTTTTGCCGCAAAAGAAGACATATGTATCTCCGTGNACAAACAATAGCGCGTGCTAGAATTATTATTATTGCCTAAAAGAAGACACAGTTTATTCGATTCTTCTCTCTCTCTCTCTCTCTCTCTCTCTCTCTCTCTCTCTCTTTTGCTGCAAAAGAAGTCAAATGTATTTCCGTGTAAAAGGTATATACGGCGCCGGCGTCATGTGTTTTAACAACAATCTTCTTTTTTTTGATAAAAGAAAACAAGAATTTTAATAAGATTCATTTTAGAATGAGGGAAAAAAATTTAACCAATTGGACAATGTCCAGGACAAGATATTTATTGTTGGCCTGTTTTTTTCAGTTTTTTTTCTATTTTTACATTTTTTCTATCTATCTTTAGTGTGGAATTCTCACACACACACACACACATTTGTGTAATATTTGACGATTTATTGCTATAACGAGAGAAAATGCACGTGTGCAATCATCATCATCATCATAAAAGGTAAAAGGTCAAATATAAAAAATGCAGTAAAAAAAGGTCACATGACGTCGTTACCAACCAACCAACCAACCACCGCCAGCACTTTATATTCAACATAATGGTCATCATATTTTTTTTCCTCCTTGTAAGGTAGAAAGATTAACATTACCGATTTGAGAAGGTACAAAAAAATAAAAAAATATTTAAAAAGCTGACCAGAGGCTATTTATATAAAGTGTGAAGTAAAACATGAACATTCACTGACCAATATGAACATTTTTCTTTTCTTTTTATCTTTTATCCAATTGGTCAACTGGATTGCGAAGAAAAAATATGAAATAACCGAATGACATTCTTGAATTGGTTCTCTCTCTCTCTCTCTCTCTCTCACAGGTAGATTTTCAACCTGTCATTTTGAATATTGGGGGGGGGACTGAATCAAATGAATAAAACCTGCTGCTATTTTTGATCACAACCTGATGACATGGCATGTATCGTATATGGTGTGTACGTACGTAATGATAATGGTAATAAGATTTTGAAAACGTGGCAGAAAATTTTTGTTTGTTTGTTTGAATGTTAGAAATACGTGTTTTTATTTTTGTTAGGTAGGGTGAGGTTAAGGTGAGGTATGCTTAAGGTATGGTAGAGGTTAAAGAAAATGTTTGTGTGTGTGAGAATAACCTGAATATTTTTGTTTCTTCTGGTTGTTAAATACAACTTTGCACGCACGCACGCACATTTTTACCCGACTTCGAACACGAAATAAAAAAAGCGGTTATCACACACAAACACACACACTGTTGTAGCTTGTTTTCAGCAAAATAAAAAAGAACCCGGACAACAACAACAACAACAAAGATTAAAGTTTGTGTCCTAAACAACCGGATGGAAAAAAAAGCAAGCAGGTATCCACAAAGCAATTACTTTGGAAAACTCTTTTTTTTAATATTCAGTTTGGTTTGGTTGGAGATGATATTTTTTTTCAAAAAAAAGCGCCAGGTGAAAGATATTTTTGTTGTTGCAAGAATGCAAAAGGATTTTTTGGAAATCAAGAAGTTTTTTTGTTTTTGTTTTGGTTATTTTCATTTGTTAATTCCGTTTTTTAAAAATCTTTCGTTGAATTAATGATGTCAATTGATAGGTGCAAAAAACAAAATTTTTTTTAAATGACTAACCTTGAAAAAAAGTTCCGATCACAAATGGATCTTTGGAGATTCTTCAATCAAAGAAAAAAACCATGATCAAGCATTTATCGATGAAAATTCTTTTTCCAAAACAGTAAATTGAATTTGAATGCCATAAGCATAAATGAGGAAAAAAATCACATCACACACACACATATCACATTGATGAAGAATAAATGCCGGTTGATTGATTGATTATTGCCCCAGAATCCCAATCAAAAACGAAAAAAAACAAACATTAACGGTATGCACAAATCACATCTCACACACACACACACATAAGGCAAACAAACTAAATGGTCGATGTCCTTTTTGTCAAATCAAATCAAATTTATTGATGTAATAATTTTTTTTAGAGTAACAAAAAATACAAATACCACCATCATTATCATCATTATCATAGACTATCACCAGCCAATTCAATGCAACAAAACAAAATACATAACATACCATACCATATATATACACGAGCTCAAAGACCCTTCAAATCAAACCATAAAATATTGGATACGTTTCTGGTTGGTTAGTGTGTGTGTGTGTTTGTGTACGTGTCTTGATCGCGTATGGTTTTTTTTTCATTTCATTTCATTTCATTTTTTCAAAAATAAAAATCCATAAAAACACATAAACACACACACCAACATAGAAAAAGAATGGATGGATGTTTGCTTCTGTTCGTTGTTGATATTTTTTTTTGTTCGTTATACTAATGCTGATGATGATTATCATAATAATAACAACAACAACAAGTGCATGGTATGTACCACCACCACCACCATCATCATCAACTATCAACAATTGCTACGACCACGGACAAACAAAACAACGAACTAACGAACGAACGAACGAACGAACGAGAAAAAAATTGATGGCCAAATTGTTGAAAGAATAAACCAACCAAACAAAACAAACCAGTAATGACCACACAAACACCATCCATTTCAAAAAAGTATACACTACACTTGACATTCCACCAACCAAAATAGTTTCTTTACACTTGATCTTTGTATTTTTGTATTTTTTTTTTCATTTTTTGAGGCTGGTCGATTCTCTTTCGGTAGTTTTCTGAATCTCTTTCTTCTGAATAAAGTTTGACCCTTTTTTTTTCTTCACTTCTTGCTTTTGTTCTGTGAAGAAGGTTTGATGATGTTTTTTGTTTTGTTTTGTTTTAAGGCTACCTTTCCTGGTTAAGGTTAGATAATGGTTAGCTAAAGGTGTTGATCCATCAATCCATCATTCATTTAATAACCATTATCATCATTATTATTCATCAGATTAACCATACCAAAGTCATCCACCCACCCGCACACACACACCAGTCGACAGTAAACTTGAACAGTTTTCGAAACTGTTTTATCATCTTTGGAATTCGTTAATTTAATTTAATTTTTTTTCAATAAAATGATCCATTTGGATAATAATATCGTATTCATTTTTTCGAAGAAACGATGGATGTTTTTGCTATTTGAAACAAAACAAAAAAAAATCATCAAATAATGATGATGTCTGATGATATTTTGTGTTTGATAAACTAACTAAAATCCTGCCTGTTATGTGTGTTTATATTTAACACATAACCAAACAATCAAACCAGCCAAGTTAAACTTGCCAGCCAAACAAAAGTTCATTAAACTTGAACTTGTAGCTTTTTATTTTGATTTAGTTGAATTGATATTGCATGGTTATATGATGATGATGATTGGGTGTACCTCTCTCTCTCCCTCTCTTTTGATTGATGATAATGGTTGGATGGTGGCAATATCGTCGTCGGCTGCTGCTGCGGCGGCTGATGTCGAGGATATCTATCTGCATATTTTTTTATTACGAAAAAAGAAGATAAAATTAGTGGGAAAAAATCATTTTTTTTGCACGAGTTTTTTTTCTTTTGTTTGTTGCATGATCGATGATAATCATATATCCATTGAAACATTAATTCGGTTCGTTTTGCATCACACGATGATGATGTACCGAAAAAAAATATCATTTTCAGATATCGATTTTCAATATGGATTGCATTCTAAAAAAAAATTTTGATCAAAAAAAATAATCTGGATTTTTCTTTTTCAAAATGTTTTTTTATAAATCAAATCAAATCAAAATTCTATTCAATTTCCACTTTTCACCAATTGTAGCGCCATCTTTTGTACTGGAATAGACACAATTTGTATATTTTTTTTTTAAATTTCAATTTCAAAAATTTTTCCAAACAAAAAAATATACAAAGCAGGAACCAAAATACAATGTGAAAAAAAAGTGTTAAAGATATTGATTTTTTTTAATTTTTCCATCAATAAATTTTGTTTTGTTTTTTTTTTTGAATTCAATTGAGAAAAAAAATGAAATCTTGATTTGCTTAAATGATAGATATTGCGCCATCTAATGTGGTGAAAATAAAATTGAAAAGAAATCATTGAAAATTAATAAATGAACAAAAAATGATGCTAGAAACTTCGTTTGTGATTAATGTGGTGTATTGACCATAATAGCCAATGGAGATAAATTATCCGGTGATTTGGGTGTTTTTGGTGTTGTTGGTGTTTGACTATCTTCATAACGAGGTGGTTCTTCATCATTCGATTCGTCGACAGTATCAGCATCCAAATCATCATCGATCATACCGATTTTCGATTCTTTTTCATCAATATCATCGTTATCATTTGTATTTTCATCAACAATTTGATGATTATCATTCATTTCGATTTTCTTCGTTTCATCATCATTGATAATATGATCTACATTAGTTTCTAAATGAAAAACAGCTTTCATTGCTGCACATAAACGTGCCATACGTTTTGAAATGGCAAAACTTTTAAATTCTAATTCACGATTACATTGATCAATAATCATACAACCAACAACATAATATTTTCTATCATTCAATCGAATACGTTCAATAATTTTAAAATATGGTTCATCAAGACAAAGATCATCACAAATTTTATATAGTTTATTTTCAGCATCCAAAACAGCTTGAATTGATTGATGAAGTTTAGTTCGTTTAGCATCATCATCATCATCATTATTATTTACTTCATTTATCGATACTTGTGGTTTAATATTTTTTGATTCTGAATTCACATCAATATTATCTTCGGTAATATTGTTGTTTTCGATAATTTCATTCGATGATGATGAAGATGATGATGATGATGATTGTTGTTCAGCTGAAATATCATTTTCAACGGAATCATTTGATTCATTTTGATCAGATTCATTTAATAGTGATTGTTGTTGTTCCATCATTATGGTTGTTGATCATCTTCAAATAATAAATTATCATCAAACAAACAAGAATGAAAATCAAAAACAGAAAACGTACCGAAAAAAAACTCCCATCACCATTACTCGATTACCAATAAAAATGTAATAATTATTATCAAACTTGTACAAAAATTATGATTATCTTCATCATCATCATCATTATTATCGTTATGTTATCAATCGGTGTCTATGACAATGATCATTCATTTATAAATAAAAATAACAAAAATAATATCATTTTTTCAATGTGGTTTTCAATAATACTTGAGAAAATTGCAAAAAAAAAATTGTTGGAAATCTTTTGGAAATAAAACAAGGAAATTATGTTTCGTCAATAATGATATACATCGGCTTTTTTTAAATCACAAATCGTAGATTGGAAGTGATCAAATATTTTTTCCGATAATCCTTTTTCGGTAAACAAAACACAAAAAACGATTTCACCATATCGGAAACAACAAACAAAAAACATTCTTATTGATTATGCGCATTACAATAAAAATGACTATTTTGACAATTTTGTCCACTATTATGATAACAACAACAACAACAATGATGATGATGATGAGATAATGTTCGAATCATTGTTGAATTATTCCATAAATATTTTAATGTTTCAGATGCTGTACGTAATTTGGCCAATCTTTTTGAAATATCTGTTGCTTCGGTGGTCAACAATATTGTTTGAATAATCAAACGAATTGTATAGAATTTTTTCCAACCAATACGTTCACGTTTAATTAATTGATATGATGGTTTTGACCAATTTTTATTATAACAAAATAATTTTAAACGTTTTGTTGAATCAATCAAACTAATTAATTCATATGATGGTGGTAATTCTTTTGGTGATGATTCTGTTGGCTGTTGAATTTTTGGCTCCAAATCATCATCATTATTTTCGCAATGATTTTCAGACATTTTCGTGTTTTCAAACAAACAAACAAACAAACAACTGAATGAATATTTTGATCTGATCGTCAACCATCTTTCGAATGAAAAAAACGCGTAATGTATATGGAATGTGTGGTCAGGGGATTATATTGTCATCAATTATCCATCTTCATCATCATCATCATCTAACCAGCCAGCTAGTCAAATTCAGACGAAATTATTATCATCATTATCATTGGGATTTCAACAACAACAAAAGATTGTCTGTCTATATGGTTCATGTCAATGAAATTCAGCAAAAAAAACGAGGATTCTGAACGATTGAACTAAACCCGATTATCATTATAATGATGAAAATGAAAATAAAAAACCGATCATAATGATCAATAAAAGTAATAATCATGAATAATAATGGCTCATCATTATTATGATCATTCATTCATTCAATCCATTCAATCCAATCGATCGATTTTGATTGCCATCAATTTATCTATTTATATTATACCGCCATAGTATAGTTGATCCGTTTGTTTTTATGTTTTTTTTTTGTTGTTGTTTCAGTTAAAAACAAATATTTTGGATGGATGAACATCAATGATTTTTTTTCCATGTAATGAATGAAATGAATGAATAAAAAAAAAATTCAGTTCAACCAGTGAAACGAAAATGAAATTATTGGGAACTTTGTTGTTCTAAAAAAAAATCTGAAAATAGTTAGTATCCCTGAAGACCCATTTTTTTTGGTAAATTATGACCACAGGATAACCTTGTAAATAAAAATGAATAAATGATTATGATGGTAATGATCTGGACATGAAAACAAGACCACAAAACAAAAACCACCAAAAAATGCACCGTAAACACACACACATAGAGAGTGTGAAAACCATCGTTAAACCAAGGTCAAATTTATCATTTAACTTTAATTCATTTGTTTAACAAAATTAGTGGAAAAAAAGGTATTTAAAAAAAACTAAAAAAAATGATGTGTTTTTTTGTGTTAGTGAAAGATTTGGGTCGGTAATCAACAACAACAACAAATGGAATTAATTTTTTTTTTGAAAGAAAAAGAAAAATAGTTCATCCAGGTGAAACGCATTAATTATGTTCCTAAATTGGTTAATTTAATTTTTTTTATTTAAAAAAAACTTCATAAGCCTAATGGTGTTTTTTGTTTGTTTGTTTGTTTTTGTTTATGAAATATTGGGTAAATGTTCAAAAACTTTACTTCTTGTTATATTACTACCGGAATATGAATCCAATATTGTTGGATTCGACATAATAAAATTATTACTGTTATTATTATTATTATTATTATGGATAATTGTTCCGGTAACATGTCGTTGTGGACTACTTTTAAATGTCATAATATTACCATCATTAGTTTCAATATCAAATTCAATATTATTTGATTTTAATGGTTGATTTGATGTTAGATTTGTTGAATTTATACGTATTATTGAATTACGTTTAGATAGATTTGATTGATGATTGATTATTTTTAATTGTTGTTGATTAGATGAATCATTTGATGATTGTTGTTGTTGTTGTTGTTGTTTCATTGTTGTTAACATTGTTGATAATGAATTTTCATTATCATTATTCATTGTTTTTGGTGATATTTGTGGTAAATTAAATGCTGATAATGATGATGATGATGATGATGATGTTGTTGTTGTCGTTTGTTTAGTTGGAATATCCATTGGTTTTGTATTGGATTTTGTATGTATGTTAGCCGTATTATTATTATTATTATTATTATTTGTTGTCGATGATGTAGCATACAAAGATAGATCAGGTATTTTAACATTATTAAAATATGAAAATTGTAATAATTGTTCACATGTTGAACGTTTTGCCGGATCTTTATCCAATGTTCGTCGTAAAAATTCAAATCCAGTTTGATCAATATGTTTAGGTATTTTTTGTTCTAATGGTTCAATTGTATCCGGTTCAGGTATTGAAACACCGGCAAAAAATTCATTTGTACGAAATATTGTTATATGTCGGGCAAGTAGATCACCAAGTGTTTTTCGTATTAAATATAATTGATCAACATCCGATTTACCTGGCCATAATGCTTCACCACGCATTAATTCAGCAGCCACACAACCAATTGCCCATACATCAACAGCTGGACCATAATTTGTATCACCAACTAATAATTCTGGTGCACGATACCAACGTGTAGCAACATAATCGGTATAATTTTCACCCGGTATCAATGTACGTGCAAAACCAAAATCACATAATTTTACTATACATTCACGTGTTAGCAATATATTTTCCGGTTTTACATCACGATGTATACACTGTTTTAACACGTATAAGTTATATAATGTTTAATAATCTAATCCAGGTAAAAAAAAATTTACTTACATTATGTTTATGACAAAAATTTACAGCATTAATTGTTTGCCACATAATACGTTTAACAATTGGTTCAGGTACACCACGTGGATATTTTTCCAATATATCCAATACGGTTAATTCACAATATTCAAATACTAAATGTAATTTACGTTTACGACGAAATACTTCAATCAAATTGATTAGATTTGGATGTTTTAATTGCTAATGAAACAAATTGATTGATTGATTTTGGTCATTAAGAAAAACAAAAAATAGTGCATACCTTTAACATTTTAATTTCACGCATTGCAATTTTCTTAATCAATGGATCATCTTCAGTTTCAACATATTTTTTAATAGCAACTAATTGACCATTATCACGATTACGACATTTAAATACAATACCATAACTACCTTCACCTATTTTGGCTATTTTTTCATATTTTTCAATCGAACTATGCATCATTAATTGTTGTTGTTGTTGTTTTTGTAGTTGTTGTTGCTGTTGCTGTTTTTGTGATGGTCCACGACGAAAAATTGAATTCTGTGTTGTTTGTTGTTGTTGTTGTTGTTGTTGTTGCTGTTTATTAGATTTATCCGTATTATCTTTTGTCAATGATGATAATGAAAATAATGATAATCGTTTTTTATTTATACCCAATACACTGGTACCGTTGATTGAATTTTTTTTAGTTGATTGTTGCTGTGTTGTTGTTGTTGTCGATGGTGTTGCTTGCTGATGATCTATTTCATTTATTTTAATGGATTTTTGTTGTTTGTGAAATTTTCAAAAAATTAAAACAACAACAAAAAAACAACATACCTGAAATGGAAACTTTACGATTAATTTTCGGTGTTGATTTATAGGATTCGTTGTTGCTATTATTATTATTATTACTACTGCTAGATTGACTATTTAAAATGGCCAATTTTTCGCTAGAAAATTTGATACGCAAAAAAAATAAATTAGAAAAATTAGTCAAATTATAACACAGTGAAAATGTTTATTTAAAACAAAACAAAAATTTCATTCATTTCAAATGGAATTCGATATTGATGTGCGAAACAAAAAAATCATTTTCAATTCTGTGTTCGAACAGAATATCAGTTATATTGTCAACTCAAGGGAAAAAAACTAACTACTAATCGAATGTCAAAACCAGTAATTGATAGCGGTATAATGTGAAATCAAAAATAAAAAATTCAAAACGTTTCAAATTTCCCATTTAAAAACAAAAACAAAAAACAAAAAATTCACATACACAGGAAACATTCTTTACCTAGACAACATAATAATAATGATGAAATTTTAAACTTTAAAAAATTTAAAATATATATTTTTTTTATATCAAACAGTTAAAATAGTCGAATGACGATAATAGTATTCTTATTCTTTGTCTTCATTCATTCAAAGTTGACGAAATTCATTGTTGTTGTTGTTTTTTACATTTTTCAATGACAACGATTATGCAATGATCGTATATAATTTCACTATAATGACAACAAAAAAAGGTTTTTCTTTTTGGCTAATGGCGTAACCCTTAGTGATGAATGATGATTGTTTTTTGCGTTTGTTGTCATCGTTGTTTGATTTGATTTGCCGTTTTCACCATATTCTGGTTGTTATTGGTAACCGGGGGGGGAGAAAAAAAATTCAATTTTCTTCAATTCTACAGGATTTGCAGCAGAATTTATCAAATTTTGTCAAAAAAAAACTTTGTCAATTTTATTAGAGAAAGTAAAAAAAACAAAGAAAGGATAAACAAATGTTATCAACAACAACAATAAAGAGAAGGAAGGGGGAAGGAAAACAAAAAAAAAATTGAATAGAATTTTTCTTCCAAATTTGAATTATTATTCTTCTTCTTCTTCCAAACACACGCATCAGCCACTACATGATAACCATGACCACTACCACTGACGTACCTCACCCATCATTTCCGATTGTCACTGGTGTTTGATTCCGTTGGGCGAAAAATATCAATTGGACATAATAAAAATATATGAAATACATCTGGTTTCCACCTCCAAATCTTATTTGTTATTATTGATGATGATGATAATGATTATAAGAAAAAAAAATAATCATTATTCAATAATTCAATAATATATGAGAAATCCATAAATGTAATGTTTTTTCTTATATTGATTATTTAGTGATGAGAAAAACAGATAGAGAATGAGAATGGAAAAAAGAATGTAACCATAGTGATATTCTGATATTTGTTCAAAATCCTAATATCCGAGATAATAATAAACAACAACAAATGAATAGAGGAAAAAACAAAATTGTGATAAATAAAGATACAAACTAAACATGTACATTATACTAACGAAAAAAGAAAAATATAGAAGATATTAAAAGATTTGTATGAGAAAATCAGACCATTGTGTTTTATGGATGATGATGATTTTCTGATTTTCTGATTTTCTGTTTGTCACTGCTGCTGTTAGTTAGTTTGTTTGTTTGTTTGGTTGGTTGGTTGGAATAAATTATTTAAATCAAGCAACAAAACAAAACAAAAACGACGACAACTACAGGAAATGAGAAACAGATAAATCTTTGCTACCCAACAAAAAACCGAGAGACTAATAAAATACTGGTATGACAAGAATCCGACAACAACAACAGAAAAAAAACGTGATATCTTTTTGTTTTTTTTTCTGGTGAATCCGGAATTATAATAATTTTCCTTGTCAATGTATGTCATCATGTCTAATGAATAACACACACACACAGGGAAGAATAATACAAATATGTTTTGTTTTCAATCAAATCTGACCACAAAGATTTATGTGATAAGATTTTTTTTTTAATTAAGAAATTTTTTTCAAAATAAAAAAATTCTGGATAACGTCATACCTGAACGGGTCAAGATATTGTTGTTGTTGTTGTTGAGGATGTTGATTATTTCGAATCGAATGTTTATTTTCATTCGAAATTGGTGGATTTATTTTGATCATCATTTTGTTCGAATTTGAATTCAAATTCTGATTTTGATTTTCTGTTCCAATCATTTTTGTTTTTATGTTATTATTTAGATTCTTTTTCTGTTTTTGTTGATTGTTTGTTGTCAATGTCGATGTTGTTGTTGTTGTCAATACAAAATTCTTGTTATTCTTTGAATTCACCAATTTATTATTATTATTATTGGCCGGTTGTATAATGGTTTTATGGTAAGAATTTTGTTGTTGATTTTTTCTTTTAATGATTGTTTTATCGTTGATTGTTTTGTTGTTATTAGTTGAATATTGAAATGTCAAATGTTTATCATTATCATTACGTTTTTTTGTAACTGTCAAACATCTTTCATTATTATCATCGTTATCGTAGTTATCATTGTTGTTGTTGTTGTTTGTATTGATGACAATTTTTTGATTTGACAAAATTATTTCCCTATTCAATGATGATGATGATTGTTTTGATGAAAATTTCAAAGAATTTATCAATGATAAATCCTTATGTTGTCGTATTGGTTGTGCGTTTGTTTCTTTATAAACATTACGCCAGAATAGATTCTCATAAAATGAATCATTCGATGATAATAATGATGATGATGATGATGAATTATTTCGATTTTTATTCTTATTAAGTTGTAGTTGTTGTTGGCAATCATTTTGATTATTCTTGTTGTTGTTGTTCATCGATATTATTATTGGCCATTCATTTTGATTATTATTATTATCATCATAATTGTTGTTCATAAGTAATCGATCATTATCGATTAATTTCAAACAATTCAAATGTTTTGTTGTTGTTGTTGTTGTTGTTGCTGCTGCTGGTTGTCGATTATTTTGATTATGTTGAAATGATGAAGATGATGAAGATGGTACAACAAGAACATTTTGACGATCCAACAATAATAATTGATCCAAACGTTTATAATGTAAATCATCAACAACAACAACATCATCATCAACCGGATGATTCGATTTTTTCGACAATTTTAACATTGTATAACAAATTACTGTCGATTTAGTCGATATTGGTGTTGATGATGATTAAGGGTAGTGGTTGGTGGCTTTTGTCGTTTTTTTTGTTGCTGGTGATAATGATAATTATGTGAATTTTTTTTCTTCTCATAAAATGAATCGATCGATAAAGTTAATTATTTTTAACAAGAATTATTCACTGCCGCCATTTTCATCGTTTAACAAGTCAAAAAAAATCTTGATTTTTTTTTGTTTTGTTTGAAAATCCATAAATATCGTTACCACCAGAAAAAAAAACATTCGAAATCGAAAAACGTTCGATCGAACGAACGAATCGATGGACAAAAGAAAAAATGTTTCAAAGAAAAAGAAAAACAAAAAGAAAAAGAAAATTCAACATTGATTAAAACATGAAAAATCGATCCAAACAAACAGCAACAACATTAAAACAAGCGAAATGAAATGAAAATGACCATCATCATCATCATCACCATATGGAATATGAATTCCTTTTTTTACTCAGAAAATATATTGACCTATCAAACAAAGAAAAAGATTGGACTAAACAAAAAAATGAACAGAACCCATAATATCATTATATAGCGTCGTTTTGGACACCTGAATTTCTTTTATTAGTTTGTGTTTATATTTGTGTGGGTTTATTGTTTATTCTGGTGTTTCCTGCTGCTCCCTTTAGCCAAAATATTCTCTATTCTAGAAACAAAAACAAACAAAACAAACAAATTGAATTGAAATTTTTCAACAAAACATTCCAAACAAAAATTAGAAATTAGAATTTATTTAATTTGAAAAAAAAACAAAATTGAATTTATGACATTTGTTGAAAATCAAAAATCATGGAAAAATTTTTTTTGTTTTGTTTCAATGAAGACCAAAATCTTCCATATTTTTATTCAAAATTGTCCATTTAACTGAATCAAATACAAATTTAATATTTTCGGTATCGGTTGCACAGGTAAAATGTGAATAAATTGTTTTTGTTTCTCTTTTTATCGATTGACGATGATGATGATGATTACCACCATTAATATTATTATTATTACTATTCATCGATATCGTACCATTTAATGTTTGATGATGATGAAAAGAATTATCATTAATAATTTTACCATTATTATCATATTGATTAAATAATTGTTTATCATCATTATAATAACTAAATGCATTACGTATAAATAATTCTTTTATAAATTGTCCAGCATCTGATGCATCATTGATATTTCCATTAAAATCTTCAAATATACGTTTTAATGGTGAACGTTTAATTTTTTCTTCCAATAAATCTTTTTTATTTAAAAATAATATAAATGATGATTTAAATAATGTTTTTAAACTTGTTATTAAACTAAATAAATTTAATGATTCTTGCATACGATTAACACGATTTTCTGATTTTCTTCCATCTAATATTTGTATCATTTGATCATATTCTGAATCATTAAAATTTAAATGATTACTTTTATATTTAAACATATCATATTCATTTAATGCTGTTAAAAATATTATCGATGTAACACCTTCAAAACAATTTATCCATTTCATACGTTCATTATCTTGACCACCAACATCAACAATACGTAAATTAATTTTGGCTGATTTTATATAAAATAAATGTTCAATAATACCGGTTGTTGGCAGACGTATTCGAACAATATCATCATTTGTTGGTATATAATTTGGCTGGCCAAAACGTTCAACATTTTCGAAAAAATATTCCGCCGAATCGGATAATTGAAATTGTGTACGATGTTCATAACATTGTTTTACACCTGAATCCGACCATAAACAACGAATACAATCAACCAAATCTTTTGATAATGATAATTGATTTGCAAATATTATTGTTGCTTGTGAATATGAACAATCGATTGATAATATTTGTTCAGCATAATGATTTTTATTTTCAAAATTTTCAAATTCAATTGATAAATATTTCATTGCATGCAATAATAGCTGCATACATTTAATTGTATTATGAAATACATAGATACGATTATTGATTAATTCGGCTGATGTAAAACCATTATCATGTATAATACGCATCTGTTTAATGAATGTACTTTTACCCGATTCACCCGTACCAAGTAATAATAATTTTACCTGTTTACGTACAATTGATTTATTTTCTTTAAGAATTTTTTCAATTTTTTTATTACGTTTACGTATTTCACGTGATTCATTTGATTCGATACACATGATTTTTGTTTGTTTGTTTGTTTGAAACAAAACAAAAACGAAAATCTTGAATTTGCCCGGTACACTTTTTTTTTATTTCTTCGTTTTTATTAAAACGATCACAACAACAATAATGTAAAAGCCCGTAAGGAATTTTGGCAAAGAACCATAAATAATGAAAAGATGATGTTGAAAACTGAGAGATAGAAAAAACAACAAGCACAATAATAATTCGAATGGAAAACAAGAAAGAAAGATGTTTTTTTTGCGATAAATTCTTCTTGTTGTTGTTGTTATATAATTATATAACTGTCGATAACGAGATCACCCTGAAGAAATTCGGAATTAAGAATAAAAAACAAATTCCAATGCGAATAAAATGTCTTCAAAGATGTTGTTGGAACAATATTTATTATTTGTTGTTGTTGTTGTTGGTTAGATAAGATGTTTGCTGTTCGAATGACAATGATAATTATTTTTCATTTGTTTTTGACAAAAAAAAAATTTGGATTTTGACTTTTGTTTCTTCTTTTGTTCTTTTTTTTTCATTTCCAATTTCAATGATGATGGTTTATAATTATGATGATGATCATCATCAACATATTGGATAGACCGGTCGGTTTGGGTTTGATTTGTCGATAATGGCCAATGATTGTCATGGTGAAAATCCATTTTATCGACAACGACAACAACAGTAATAATAATAATGATGGGCTGGACAAAAATTTTCGGTATTAAAGACGATGATGATAATGATGTTGATGATGATTATATTAGAGACTTTGATTTTCATTTTTAATTTCTTATTTGATTATTATCATCGAAGATGATTTTTTTTCTCTTTCTTTCTTTCTGGTTTAGTCTTGTAAAAGTTTTTTGTTGTTGTTGTTGTTGATCATAATAAAATGATGATCTTATCATTTGATTTTTGCAAGACATTATTATTATTATCATAAAATGTTGGTGAAGTTACTAATGGTAATTTGTATCCAGGGTAATATTATATTTATTTGATTTTTTCTTCTTTTTTTTGATGGTCTCAATATTTGTTGATCAATCAATCGATCATATCATTTATGAACGGTTTCAAATTTTAACGCAACGGAAAAAAATTTCGAATGTTTTTTTTTTGTTCATTCGAACATGTAAACATTTGAAATTCTTGCTCGAAATTCTTTCGTTCGTTCGATGATTTGAATCATGTGACTTTTGTTTTTGCTAAAAAAAACATTTTTTTTAAAGATTCTTAAACCATATAATTTTACCATATATGAAGCTTCATCATTTTTGTTTTGGTGAAAACAACAACGAAAAAAAAGTAGGCGGAAGAACAAGATGTAATCATAGAAAAATATGTACCAAAAAAGATAAACATCATTAACAATTTTTTTTTTCTCGTGTATAATGTTTGAGTATTTAGGTAAGTATATTATATATTCCGTTTTTTTCTGCTTTTGGATCATTTATTATTATTATTATTCCAATAACAATGACAAGGACAACAACAATTTCGACATTGTTCCAGAATGAATTTTTCCCTTGGTTTCTTGTTTCCCGAAAAAAAAACAATGAACAAAAAAAAAGTAAAAGAAAAAAGATAGTGAAAGAAAAACATTGTCCATCGCCATATTCCCGATTATTACATCGTTTTCCATTTTTTTTCTTGTTCATCGATTCAATGTTTGTCCACAACAACAACAACAAAAAAACCAACATAGCCAAATAGATGATGATGACATTATTCGGGTCTGTTTTTAATATTTTTTTGGTCATGAAATATCATCATCATCATTGGATCATTTTATACTTTCGAAAGACAATTATTGTGTGTTCATATTTGATTTACTAACCAAACGATTGAAGAAAAATAATCAATATGGGTAAAAATGTCTAAAGATGATGATAATACTGATAAATGATATAATGAATGGAACAACAACAATGTATGGAATGAAATCGATAACATGAAATAATTCTGAATCAACCAAAAAAAATAGAAGAAAGAAATTGGTAACAGAATTTCAAGAATCTATATAGAATGATGATGACAAACAAGAAACAACAACAGAAAAAATTTCATTCAATTTCACTCATGCATACCGAATCAGAATTTGATCAGCCAAAATTGAAAGTAGAATTTTGTTTTGTTTTGTTTGACTTTCGACTAAACTTTTATTCATTTGATTTTTAATAATTCATCATCACCATCATCAACGGATTACATCATTCCAACAATTTACATTAAATGTTTTTGGACCATCATCATCAAATGTAATTCTCTAACAAATTATTATTATTATTAGAGAGAATCATCATCATTATCATCACGAACCAAACGTAACATGTATCATCATCATCATCATCAAACAAACATTCCGTAAGCAAATTTTTTTTCTTCTTATTTCAAACTTTTTTTTTGATACAAATCGAAATTGAAGAAAAAAAAATTCTTTTCATATTAAGAATACGAAAAATTTCCAAATGAAAAATTCTATTATATGTATGTGTGTCCATGTTTGATTTTGAAAATCAATGTTGTCGTCTTTCTTTCTTTTCTTTTCTTTTCTAAACATTCATTCAAATTTATTCGAATAGCCTAAGAACACGTTTCTCATTTCACAATTGTCAATTGATAAGTTCTAAAAGTGAAGAGAGAGAGAGAGAGAGAGAGAGAGAGAGAAATTGCTTTTATAATTCGTAAAACGTTTTTTTGTTGAAGTTGATAAATAAGAATTTTTCGATTATTCTTGACAAAACCAACAACCGGACAACAACAACAACAACAAAAATATTTGACAACCAAAGCAAAAAAAAAGTACATCAAATTCAATAAAGCCTACACACACATACACTTTATAGAAAACAAATTCTATTTGGTCTATTTCATTCATTCATTCATTGATTCGGTAAGTAATCGAAATTTTTTTTTGAAAAGAAATCCAAATAATAAATTGTACACTGAAACAAATATAAAGTCAATTTAACTCAATAATAATAATAAGTATAAAAACATAAAAATAGCAAACTTTTTTTTCAGGAAAACCTTTTTTTTTAAAAAGAATTTTCCATTAAGCTGAAAATAAACTTTTTGTTTGTTTGTTTGTTTGGTGTGGGTCATCATTTGATGATGATGTTGACCATTATATCATCATCAAAACCACAGAATTTTTCCTTCCAATTGCGGATGTGAAACACAAATATTTGTTCAACCAAAATGAATGAATTAGTAATGTAATAAGGGATAAAATAATAATAATAAAAAATCGATACGAATTTGATTGGTTGTTTTTATTGACGCCACCACCACCACCACCACCATCATCAAATTAAATGGTTATTTTGAGAATTTTTTTATTTATTTATCGATTTTCTCCTTCTCTCACTCACTTGGTTGCACTAAAAAAAATCAATCAAATCAATTAATCAATGAAAAATTAAATCATCAAAAATCATAAAGAAAAATCTCTGGAAGATTCTGGCAATAAAGTTAATCATCCAAAACATTTACAAGATTATTTTTGAGATTTTTAATGAAAAAAAGACTAATTTTTATTTCATTTCTTTTTTTGAAAACCATAATTATGAAAACATCCAGAAAACGAAACGAAAATACTTTGATCACAAAATTCGAAAGGTAAGGTTGTTTCGTGAAACAAAAAATATATACAGAAACAAAAATTAACATAAAAAACCAATTTTCTTCATCATCAAGATCATCATTACATGAACCAAATTGCAAAATAAAATTGAAATATGAAAATTGAAAGAATTCATCATCAGTCAACCAAGCTAATACTTGCAATCGAAAATGACAATTTTTTTTTCGTTGAAAAAATTAATGAATCGTAATCGAAAACCATTTTTTGACGCAATCAAAAATTTTGAAATGCCACAAGGGTCGCGATTCAATTTTTCGCTTCATCAAAACAAAAAAAAAGAGTTAAATTGTTTTCCAAGTAATATTTTCTGTTCATTTTCAATAATTTCTCAATTTATGAAAAGAAGAAAAAATGAAAAATCATTTCTTTTACAAGGATCCATAGATGGCCGGCCACAGATTGTTTTTTGACTTTTTTTTCTGACGCAAACTCCAATTTATCAAACTTTTTCTTCGTTTTCTTCTTCGATTTGGAAAGTTCATTTTTTCTTTTCTTTATCAGTTGGAGTATGCGCTTAGATTCTGTGGGCGAGAGAATCCGAAAAGAATTTCAGAATTCTTCTCATTCAGAATTTTCTTTCATTTGTTTTGTATCATTCTAACGATGAATATATGTAGTGTGAATATTATATTCTTTTGAAGAAATTACGGGAAAAAAATGAAATTTTAAAAAAATTCTTTCAATTTGATTACATTTCTGTGCCTTTCAAGATTCTTGTGTGTGTGTGTGTGTGTGTGTTTAGTGGTCATCTTCATTGATTATTCGTTAATTTATTTCTCATTTTGTTAACCAAAGAAGAAGAAGAAAAGTTCAATTATTTTTCGGCTATCATTATTATTACATCAAATTGATTATGAAGACAAATTTAAGTAAGTTTGTTTCTTTATTATTATTATTAACATTATCGTTTGCACTTCTATCTCTCTCACTTTATTTAATTCCTTAATTAACAATAATCATAATGTTTGTTATGTAATTGGATTGTTTGTTTGTTTTTTTGGGACTAATGTTGGGTTTTGGGAAAAAAAGTTCAAATTATCATCATCATCATTATCACAACAAAATATAAAAATATAAACCAACTTGATTCCGGCCAATATTCTGTAGGAAAAAATATACCAAATGTGAAAAAGAATGAAAAAATAATGATAAATTTGTGTATAAAAAAAAAACAGAATTTGTTTGTTTGAATTCAATTCCATTTTTTTTTTAGTCAATTATAATGAGATCCCAAACACATCAATATCATTTTTCATACGAATGTTTCATACGAATTTTTTTCCCTCTCCGATCTTATTACTATTTTTTTTTCTTCTTCTGTTTGTTATCGTATGAAAAGTTTCCAGATTTTTTTCTTCAATCATATCAAGATTTTGGTTATTCAACTACCAAAAAAAAATGTTGTGGTGCGGTGTGCAAATGACAAATAAACGAACAAACAAACAAATTTAATTCAAAAATTCAATATTTTTTTTTGAAACAAATTGAATTCTGTTATTTACAACAGTGTAAGAAAGAGAGAAAGCAAGAATATTCCTGCAATTTATGGATTTTTATTTGATTTCCTTTTTATTATTTTTATTTCGCTTTGCATTGATTTTCGATTTATTTTCAGGCGAATTTCTTTTCTTAGTCTGGCGTTTATTGACCCAAAATTGGTGACCAAACTTTAAAAGAATAAAATAATGTAACAAGAAATTCTTATCTTCATCACCATTATGTGAAGAGAATATTTTTCAGAAATTTCTTTTTTTAGAAAATTTTCAGTTTTTTTACCGCTAATTTTCTTATTAAATCAAATAATTTTCTTTTACTTTTATTCAATTGATATTCGAATATGACAAACAAACTTAACAAATGTTTTTGTCAATGTTTTATTCACTGTGTGTTGTTGTTGTTTGATTCATCATCATCATTTGCAGAAAAAAAGTTTTACTTTCAAATTCGACGGATTTTGTTTTAGATTTGGATTGTTATGATGGAATAAAAGAGTGTGGTGGGTGTGTGTGTAGATGGAAAAGCCAAACTTTTTTCTTCTTTTCATAAGTTTCACCTATATTTGTTTGTTTGTTTTATTTTTGCTTGCAATTTCGACAGCTGTACTAAATGATCGTAGTTTTTTTTCCATATTTTTTTCTTCGTTCAATACAAAAAAGTTATGGTCGAAGAATATTCTTTGCTTGTTCAACAACAACAACAACAACAACAACATTGCTTAATTCAAGAGAATTTCATATTCTCGAATTCCAGTTCTTTTTCAATGATGATGATGATGATATACTTGTGATATTTTAAGTGAAAAAATGTCCAATTTTTTACTTTTAATTTGAAAATTTTCATTTTTTTTCTCAAAATGGACAACCAGAACTGAGAAAAAACAACGGTTTTTTTTGCATTGAAACAACCAAAGAATTAAAACCATTTGAAAATACCAGACATGAACAGAAAAATAATGATGATGATGTTTTGGTTCAGTTCGATGGTTCAAACAAATCAACCAGTCAGCCAGCCAGCAAAAAAACAAAAAGTTAATCTCAACTAAAGTGAAACAAACACAGCCTGCGGATGTAGCATCCATTCATTAGTATCCATTCATTCATTCATTCATTCATTCATTGATATAATTATGATCATCATCATCATTATTTTTCACACACTGAACAACGAAGAAAAACAAACAAACACTTTTTTCTAATGATGCTGATAACAAATAATAATAATAATTATAATGAATCTAATGAATTAACCAGAGCAGACACATTTCAGAATTATTATTATTATTATTGTTTCAGTGTTGAAACAAAACAAATACACAAAGACAAACCAAAATGATAACATTTTGGATTTTTTTTCTGTGTTTCATAATGTATGAAAAAGAGAGTGAAAGAGAAAATATGAAATTCTTATTATAAAAATCGACAAAATATATAGGAATTGTTCGTTTGTTTCGTTTTTTTCTTTGATCCAGGCAGGATTTTCTTGATTTTTTTTCCACAAATGATGATTTCCATATTAGCGTCATTATTACAATGATGATGATGATGATGATGATAGGAATTTAATGTGTGTTTAGGATGATAACAGTAACATCAAATTAGTCGAAAATTTTTTCAAGTCAATTTTAGATGATAAAAAAATGTCTAATAATAGTGTGATGGTATTTTTTTGGTGAATCTTTATCTATGGGATTTTTTTCCTATTTGATTCATGATGAAAAACATCCAATAATCCAAGGAATCAATGAAGAATGATGATTTTACAGTGAAAAAAAAATGATTTAACAATAAAAAGAAGTTATGATTTGAATTTGATTAGAATTTGAAATTTTGTTTCGCCAAAAAAAAAAGAAACTAATTCAGATGAATCGAAAAAAAAAATTTGATTTGAAAAAATTTAACATTCAAAACACACACACACAGGAAAAAAGATCTATTTTTTTCATTTTAAAAATATTATTCAATGATGATGATGATGATGTATAAAGTGATCCCAATGGACAAAATTTCATTTTTGATGAAAATGTTTTATTTTTTTTCTTCAAACCAGTAATATCGAAACAAAGCAAAATGTCATTTTCGATTTCCGATTTAAAAGAAAAAATGAAAATCAATCATCATTTTGAAAGTTTCTTTTTTTTTTGTTACTGAAAGATTTCAAGGTCCAAAAACTATATTTGGTAATTGACTTTTTGGATTCTTCGACCATTCAATAGTAATGATGATGATGATGATAATGGTATTACAATCGAATAAATAAATGGTTTTTTTTTCAGATTCCAGAAAACATTTTTGGTTGTTGTTGTTGATCCAAAATGAAATGTTTTAAATGTTTCAAAAATGTTTTGTTGAGAAAAGTTTTTTTTGTTGTTGAATTCTTTTTTTTTGCTAATTCTTTTCTTTTTCCTGATTCCAAAAATCAATATTTATTTTTTTCATCATCATCATCATTCATCTATTACTATTTCGATACAAATGATGTTTGTTTTGTTCGTTACAAACATCTACTGTGTTGAAATAGAAAAAAAATTCAATCGTCACATCATTGTGTTTTGTTCAAGTTTGTCGTTGATTTGAAATTCGTTTTTTCTTTAGTTTGATTGTAAACATATTGACATTTTCTCTCTCAATGATGTCTGAATTATAAATGAGATTTTTCTTTTGAATTTCATTCGGTCTTCACACACACACAACACACAGGAAACAGAATTTTTTTTCAAAAGAATTATTGACTAAATGTACATATACGTGCTTGATTAAGTTGAAATAGAATTCGAATATAGAATAATGTTCATCATCATCATCATCAACAACAGATTCATTTGATGAGAACCAAAAAAAAAGCGATTTTTCACCCGAATCAACTCGAATTTAATTCTGTTTCATTTATCAATTCTAATTGCACAATTCAAACACTCTGTTTACATTCAAAAAACAAAACAACCAACAAAAATATTAATAGCAGAACAAAAACTGTTAATGATCATCCGAATAAATGTGCATCAAAAACAAAGCAAAAAATAAATAAACAATAACGAAATTGTATTGTCTATTTTGCAATTATAATGATGATGATGATGATGATGATAATTGAATTCCGAAAACAATTAATTACGAACGTTGTTTCTTTGCTGAGGTTAAATCAAAAAGCCAATGCACACAAATTGTGCATTCGTCAACAGAAAATAAAGTGAAATAAAAAAAATTTTAATAAAATCAAACATTGTTGGTGGTTGTTTCAACACATTTTACATTCCAAACAAAAAATAACAAAGCAAAATTGCATCTTTCATCATCATCATCATCATCATCAGCACAGAATTCAACAACTGCCAACACAAAATTATAATTTTTTCAATTTTGCACACGAATCGTTTTTTTGACTTCCCAGTTTTTCTTCACCATAATCACCCCCCCAAAACAAAATTGTTTTTCTTTTTCATCGTTTTTGTTTCCATTATTGGTGTTTAACCAAAATCATCGATCATCAGCATGATGTATGTAAAGTGTATGGAAAATTCCATTGATAGAAGAATCAGATGATAATGATGAAAATAGCAAGAGAGAGTGAGAATATTCTATAATCACTACTTAATTCATCATGGATGAATTGAATCCACAAAAAAAATTAATCATCAATAACAAATATTTTGTCCAACAAAAAAAACATAATAACACAGAACAGAATTCAAAAACAAGAAAAATTCTGAACAGAGAATGTTTACACAAACTTTTGGGTGAGAAAAATATTAATGAATCATCAGAATATAACCACATGACAATCTCCAATTTTTTTATATTGCGTCAGCAAACAATAACAATAATAACAACAACAAGATTAACTTTAATTGATTGAAAAAATTTAAATCCGAATTAACTTGCAAAATCATTATTTTGTGGGTGGTTTGACAATATTTATTTACTTAGCATCAATTAATTTAATTTAATTTAATTCAATTCAATTTTTCTTTTCTCGTTTCTTTTTTTTCTCCCGCTAAAAATTCAATTTTCTGGTTCAAATTCGATGGATGTAAAAAAAAAGTCTACACTCTACTTGTATTGTATTTAGCCGATGTAAGCAATGTGATATTTATTCATCTGGTAAATATATGTACATTTCGTTTGAAATTTTCATCATCATCATCATCATCATCAACAACAACATTAATAAATGATGAATATAGTGAATCATTTTATCGTATTATAATGATTGTATCGGCCGATATGGCTGTAAAATGTCCATCCGATCGTATACTATATCCATGTAAATGTCATCATAATGAACATATCATCTGTACTGAATCAATGACCTATAGTTTGTTGCATGTATTTCGTGCTATTGAACAATCAATGTTATCCAATATACATTATCATTTATCATCATCAACAACAATAACAAATCAAATGCCAAAACCATTATTTAATGAATTAATATTATCAAATCATTATTGGAATGAATTGGATGATAATCTATTTCAATATGTACGTTTTCAACGTATTATTATGTATGATATGAAATCATTGATACGAATACATTCAAATGTATTCAATGGTACCAATAATGATGTAAAATACTTAGAGATTAAAGGTAAGGAAATTGATTGATTTTTGAAATTTGTACAGAATGATAACAGGAATAATGCCATTAATCATTAATTTTTCACACTTATTTTGTTCATTTAATTTTTTTTAATAGGCGAAAATAAACTTGGCCAAAAATATATCAATCAATTATTCGATGCCTTAAGTTCACTACAGATGGCAAGGGAAATGTATCTGGAATTAAATCAATTAGATATGATACCAAGCTATGCATTTCGTGATATTCAAATGAATTATTATAATCCATCATCATTTGATCAAGGAAATTATTATACTGAAAATTTGAAAATAAATAATAATAGAAAGCGTTTACGTTTGGAACGATTACATATCCTATCAAAATCATTAACACAAATATCAAGCTATGCATTTTATGAGCTAAATTCATTACGATACATACGGATACATTCAAAACATAATGATGGTCTACAACGAATATCGGCACATGCATTCGATTTAGCACAACCATTAAGTCATCCATTAATTATTGATTTAAGAAAAAATCAATTAAAATTATCCTGTTTTGAATTGGATACATTTCAACAAGTTAATCGTCCGGTACATTTAGATTTATCGGAAAATAATCTAACATCAATACCGCAAACAATATTTGAACGTTTTCTAAATATTGATGCCAAAAATACGATTAATATGGGTGATGGTACAAATCCATTACAATGTAATGATTGCAGCCTTTACTGGCTATTAAAAGATCGCCAAATTTATTCATCACAAATTCATGATGCTATATGTCACTCAATTAATGCTAATCTATGGCGTCTGGATGAATCAACATTTCGACAATGTCAACAGGATCAACATTATCAACCAAAATTAATCTTCCGTAATAGTGCCCATTCTATTCATTATCAATTATCATCATCATCAATGACGACCACTATGACCAAGTCGACAATGACAAATACAAAACAACATTATGGACATCATCATCATTATTTAACAATTCTTTTTTCATCATTCATAATGATTTTATTAATTTAAAAATAGATAAATAAAATTAAATAATAACTACTTTTTTTATTGTTATTTTTACAACAAAAAAAATGTTGATGAAAACATTTAATTCAGGTTGTTACAAAAGAGAATGATGTGTCGTTGAATTCTTTTTTCTTTCTCTCATCTCTCTTTCATTGTCAACATTGGATGTGAATTATTGTTCTAGATACAGACATCGTTGATGAATTTAACGATTCCAAACAAAATCAACAACAATGCACAAATGGTAAAATGTCAACGGTTTTTCTTTTTCGTCCGTTGTTATTATTCTGATCATTCGAATTCTATTAATTTGACAGTTGGTTGTATTAAGGTTCATTGGTTGTTGTTCCAACAGCAACAACAATGTTGATGTGTCACTTTTAACTTTTGAAGAAAAAAAAAGATTTGCAACATGATTTTTTCATTTTCATTACCCAATTTTGACAATAGAACAAACAACGAAAAAAAGTTATTTTTTTGGCACATCGTATCATTAAATCATTTGATGTGTGGGTGTGAAGAAAAAAAAATCTGATTAACTGAAATTGTTCAACCATAAATCTTTCACCAACGTCATACAATAATGATACCGAAAATTATCTTACATTATTTAATTTTATAATTATTTTTCAAACAAAATGTCCTTCCGGCAATTTTATTGATTAAATTTTTTTCAACTAACAAAAAAAAAGAGAAAATGAAAAAAATGAATTTGTCGATTTCATAAATTATGAATATGGTAGACATATGGATGTCTATCGATCGATCGATCGATCGGTGTGTGTGTTCTACAATGTATGTGTGTTTGTATTAAATAAAAAGCAAGCAATCGAAAAAACAAATTCTTTGTGTAAAGAAAAAAAAATTCTAAAGATGTGTGTTGTTTGTGTTTCAGATGAATGGATCAACAACAACAACGAATGATGATGATGATGATGATAAATTTGAATCCATTTGGCATATAATTCAAATTCCATATATTCTAGACATTCGGAAGAAAAATCGATCGATCGATCATAATGATGATAATAGGAAAAAACAATGAAGTTTGTGTTTGTGTGTGAAAATAGTTATCATTATTCAACTATTGACAAGAGAATATTCTTTATATGTTGTTGTTGTTTTTTTGGCTTGTTGTTGTTTGTTGTTCTTTTTCATTTTTAATATTTAGGCATATTTTGATTATTATATTCATGCATTTCGATTTTTGGTTAAAAATTTCTAGAATCTAGATAATTGTTTTGCATTTTTTTTTTCTTGGATCATAACTTGGATTCATGATCAATATTTTTGCCATCATCATTATCAACGTTATCAACATTAGTATTATCATCATCATCATTATAGAAGTTTTTGATACGATCAGAAAAGAATATCATTATGAAATCAAATATGCTACCCAATGCCATAAAAAATATAACAAAACCATGAAAATATTTACGAAATTTTTCCTGATCATAAAGCCAACAATTTCCTGTTTTACCACAACGTGAATCCCAAATTAAACAACAAGCATCGGCAACATTACCAAATATTAATGGATATGGTATAAATGCTAATTTGAATAAAATAAAATAAATGAATGGATAATATTTGTTGATTTTTTATAAAGTTATTCCAAAATAAATACCGAAAATAGCCATAAATGCTGATGCAGCACCAATTGTAAATCCTTTATCCATTGGATCGACAGATCGAAATGATATTAATGCATTAGCTGTACGTGCTGTTGATGATACAATAGCACCACAAAGTACAACAAACAAATACGGAAATAAATTGGTACAATTATCAATGTCACGTTGACAATAACCTATATGAGCTTGATTTGGATTATTTACATCTTGTATGCAGGAACAATCGGCTAATGTTTGATTTGTTGCAAATATATCCCGACACCCAGCAAAACAAGGTGAAAAATATGTTGTTTGTCCATCGGGAGCACAAACCGGTGCAAATGAATTGGTTGTACATGAACAATCCTGATTACATGGTGCATTCATTGTAAATCTATCAATAAATAAATGAAATTAATCATTTTATAATCGAAAATATTTCATCATTATTATAACCAACCTTCCTAATGAGTCATAATTACCATTCATCTTTAGAGGATCACAACCTAAAAACATACCCGAACCCATTGTAAAAATTGATAAACTTTCAACAATAAAAACATAAATCAATATAAAACGTGCAGATGGTCGAAAGAATGCCAAAAATCCACCACCCAATAATATTCCAATAGCCATCGGTAAGATTGATGTTGTACCGGTTATAAAACTAGCCGATGATGATGATTGCCGAAATTGTGATTCAATAAATTTTGGTTTCAACATTATATAACCACCGATACCAATATAACGAAACGCACTACCGATAAGATATAACATAATGAATGGATTTGTTAGAAAACGTTTAAATGC